TAATTTGAATTATTTAAGCTTAAAGGCAAATTTTATGGCTATGACATATTCTTTTTTTTTCTAAATAGTTTTATGGTTTAAATCCTTACATTCAAGGCAAATGCCACTTCCATTAATTGTTTGTACATGGCTTTTCCCTGTGAAAATGCTATTTATAAATCATGAAATGCCATGCAAATATCAGGTAAAGAATTACTCAGAAAACCTCAAATAAAAGAAAGAGGAGAAAAATCATCTGGATTAGGTGTTTAAGGCAAACATTACTAAAAACAAACCAAATCCACTCTACACACATTCACACTATGGAAATAAATATTTCAATTGGTAACATACATATAAGATAGATAACATAAAGACAAGACCACATATTGTGAATATATTGAATAAAAAATTTAAATCTTAAACTGTGTAACTGAGAAATAGAAAATATTTCCATTACATTAGCAGAAATACACTCTGTAATTCCTTTCTTCAACAGCAAACTTCTGCACCATTTTGGGAACTGTATTAATAGCACTGGTATTTTTGGTGTTTAAAGCTGTGTTGATATGATAAAGTACTGTAATTTTAACTTATTGTGAGGCAGAAACTGCTTCATTAATTTCTGCTTCATTCAAAACTGACTCAGGAACAAATCAATGTTTACCAATGGGAACAAAGCTAAATGGGTAACAGAAACAGAATCCAAAACACTTGTAATAAGTCATTAGTTTAAAATGTAGAAAAAAATTTTTTAAGGGTTGTCTAAGTTCTCTTTAGTCAACAAAACTTGAAAATGAGAAACCGTTTTAGGAAATTTGAAATGATTTTTCAGTGAATACTTTTAATTTTAATCCTGTTAAACCTGAGAAAATGTTGCTCTTTATACAATAAATAAAACATTAATATAAATATTGCCCATGAAGTAGCAGTACCATTTTTTAATGACTTTATTACAGTAGGTATTTATGAACTGTAATGTATGACTCAGACTTACCAGATATATCAGCACTTTAAATATATTGAATAAATAATGTATTGAATATTAAAGTAAACATGTCTTCTCTGTTTTATCCATAATCCAGCTAATCTGAGTACTTTAAAATATCACAGAATGACAGCTAAACCTAAAAGGGACATTAGAGATAACTTAGTCCCATCCCTTCACCTTTCAAATGAGGACAGGAACCAGAAAGAGTAAAAACACTTGTCTAAAAATCTAACAACTTGTTACTAACACAGAAAACAAATCTGTCCCTTCTAGGTGCTTGTGTGTAAACCCAAAAATCTGTTTCCCCTCTCTTCACACCTATGCGTGCGCGCGCACACACACACACACACACACACACACACACACACACACACACACACATTTTCTACAAACAACTTTCTTTTCGTTTTGGAAGGAATAAAATAAGGACTGGGCAAACACTGCTCGGTAATATGAAGTTCTTTGAATGAAAACATATTGTTTTGAAAAGTCACTTCATTCTTCACCCTTTTTAATAAACAACCTAAGGCACCACCCATGATAATCACCCCCAAGTGGTTAACGCCCTTCCCTTCATTGAATCTGGTAGCTGAAAGGCTATGGCTTTATTTCCAGCTAGGTGAGAAGGAATCACACTTTATTCCTCATCAGATAATACAATATGATAAAAATGAATACTATTTTCAAGTCACAGCACTTTGATCAAGTACAGAAAGCATTTTGTTAGAGCATCAAACCACTAAGGAAATCAATTGCAAGGAGTTATTTGTGGAAAGCTAGATGCTTCAAAGGCAAACATGGTAACATTTAGTTGCACTGTTCAAATGGTATCCTAAAAACATCTGGGGTGAGAGGTGTCACAGGTATCAGATAAATGCAAAAAGCTCAGGAGAACAATCTTTTGTGGTAAAGAAGTGCCAATCAGTGAGAAATATTTTTCCTGAGACAATAGCAAAGAGGTAGTAAAAGGAAGAAAACTGGGTTTAAGCACTGGCCTGGTAACAAATTATTTTAGGTAATCTCAGATATTTTTTTACCAACTCCTGTTTCCACAGACATTACAATCTGATCAGAAGTACTCCTAGTGGCTCCTAAGACCAAGGGGAAAGGAAAAAACACGCAGTGCTTCAGCCTGACTCCAGGCTCCCTCCCCGAGTCCCCCTGGCCTCAGGTCCCAGGCTGCAGACTCTCCGTTAACCCCGACGGCGCCATGGGAGAGATTTATCCTTAAACGAACTCTAAGAGGAAGGGGAGTGCAAGTCTGAGTCCGAGTCTGTCATAAGGATTCACCCGTGTTTGGCCACAACTAGTTAGTGCAAAGCTGGTCCAGGAACCAAAGCTTGAGCGTAAGATGTGAAGGTAAATCTGAGAATAGGACTGTTATTTCCCTCTGACTCATTCCAGGATAAGCCCTAAGAACAAAGATTTACCAGCAAGCTGAGCTGTAGCACCAAAGCCTTGATGCTCTGGGACCTCTGTAAGACAGTTTAGCAAAGAGGAGAGAAAACACTTCACCTGTCTTAGCCTGATTGGATACACAGTTCTGAGTAGAAGAGCATGTGAATAAAAACTCTGGGACAAAATTCAACATCCCCAACTATAAGACGACCCAAACATGCAAAATGGCTGAGGACAAAATACCTCCCTTGCTACTCTGCTTCTAATACTAAACAGATTTTCTCTTTAAATTCAAACCATGTACTCTCTAAATTGGTGGAGGACGGAGAGTGGGGGAGGTCAGTGAGAACCCCAGATGCCTGAGGTTTCCTATGAGTTCTGCCATTAAATTGGTAGCTATGCACATTTGGGAAATTCTTCTGAACACGGGGCCCTCAGATTCCTTATCTGGAAATTGGTTTTGTCCCTTCCTGTTCAAAATTCCATGCTTCTTTGTGAAAGGGGAAATTTAAAAATTTTAATTTAAAGGCAAAACTTCCTGAGATTACAAAGGCTATCTGGGGGTTAACCTAAGTCTCTGACTGGTCCATAATCCCACTGAAATTTTGTGAAAAATTTTTTGGTAAGTGTATGTATTTACAGAAGCATTTTCCAAGTAAAGGGGACTTTATTTTTCATTACAACTTCAAAGGAAAATTAGGTCCCCAAAACGGTTGAAGATCACTGGTTGAGACAGTAAATGGTGTCTTTAGTTTCTGATTTTATCTGGTGCAGAGCACATCAGCAGCAATCTTTCACATGGTTATAAAATCTGTTGCATAAAGCCTTCCTGAATTTCTCATTCATCTTCATGAGCCATGTGTTCATAATTTTTCATGAGCAGAAAGACTGTGCAAAATCAAGAGTTCTTTTCATTAAAGATTTAAAATTCTGGGAATTTCAGGATTTATTTTGTTATCAGTGGCCAAAGGACAGCCATTTGACCACATCAGAAATTTCAAGTATATAGCATTTGCCTATTCATGTTGAATTATTTTTACTATTTTTTTTTTCTTAACTGACAGGAAACAAAAGGCTTGGCTCCTCCTTCCAGCCTGCTCTTCTTTTTCTTCTGATGTTTGTGCTGTGAAATGATGATGGATTAACTATGGTTCTATTTGAAGTAGTAATTTTCATTTTTATAACCATTTTGATCCTCAAGATAAATAGAAGACATTTTTATAATATTCTTATAAGAATTAGTTGAAAATTAGAGAGAAGAGGAAAATGACATTGGGGAATCTGAGGAACTGAAAGATGCACGTTGGAAAACGCGAGTGCCAAGGGAAATGTACATGATTAGATACTGAAACAGTGTTAAGTCCCTGAGCAGAGAAATAGAAAAAAGGAAGCTCTTAAAACAGGGAACAAATAAAGCAACTAGAGAATAGTGAATTATTTAACGCATTAAGTGAAAACGACAAAAAAAAAATCACAATTGAGCTTTTCAAGAGCATCTTTTGGCTGATACTCTCAAGGCGTTATACAGCTTCTCGTTAATTAATGCAAAGGCAGAGACAAGTAAAGAACATCAAAGAGAGAAGGATGTTGCCAGTGATCATCAGATAAATGCAAAAAGCTCAGGAGAACAATCTTTTGTGGTAAAGAAGTGCCAGTCGGTGAGAAATGTTGATTTTTCCAGAGACGACATCAAAGAGGTGTGAAGTAAAAGGAAGAAAACTGGATTTAAGCACTGGCCTTCTAACAAATTATTATAGGTAATCCCAGGTATTGTTTTTACCGACTCCTGTTTCCACAGACATTACAATCTGATCAGACCAAGGGGGAGAAGAGAAAACACGCAGAGCTTCAGTCTGACTCCAGGCTCCCTCCCCGAGACCCAGGCTCCAGACTCTCCGTTAACCGCGATGGCGCCGTGGGGGAGATGATCCGTAAGCGAACTCGATCCCCAGGTGACCCAGGCGCGGGACTTAAATTCACAGAGCATCCTCCTGTGACTCTTCCTCTTTCGAGTAACACCTCAGTTTTTCTCCTCTGCGCTTCCGCGAATCCCACTCAAGGAAAGTCCTCGGACTGCAGCGAAAACGCACGCCGCCCCCGCCCCCACGGAGCCCCAGCAGGCCTCCTCCCGGAGGCCCGGGGCGGGAGGGGCGCGTGCCCGCGGCCCCCGCGCGCGCCCGTTGCCATGGGAACGCACGGGGCTCGGCCGCCCGAGCGGGACGCGGGAGGCGGCGCCGCGGCAGATCCTGTGGGAGACGCTGTCGCAAGATGGCGTCTACGAGGCCGCGAGATGCGGAGTAAGCGTGCCCCGCCGGGGACTGCGAGGCTGCTTCTCTCTCCTCCGCCGCCGCCACTGCGGCGCCGAGTCTCCGCCTGCCACTGCGCCGCGGCCCAGCCCTCCTGCCTCGCAGGTACCGCCGCCTGCGCGCGCTCCGCGTAGTGAACAGATGGCAGCGGCAAGTGCCGGCTCGCCTGGGGCTAGCGGGTCTCGCCTAGTGCGGTGCGCCTGACAATAACGCGTGAATAACTTTTTCTTGCAGCGGCCCCCAGCGGCCCGGCTTGCTGCCTCGCCGCGCGCCCGCGGCCCCACCACGCCCCTCCGGCTCCCGGCTCCCTCCGAGGTGTGAGCGCGTCTGGCCCGTGCGGTGATCAGTGGCCGGCCTGGAGGAGCGCGTGGACCGGCGGGCGGCGGCAAGCAGTGGGCCAGCGCCTTTACCATGGCCTTGACCCTGTTTGGTAAGTGCAGCCCTTCGCCCGTGCCGCTGCAGGTGGGCCGCGCCCCGGCATCGGGGGCTCGGGGGGCCCGGGGAGGGGACGCGGCGCGCCTGGTCGGACGCGGGCCTACGGCGCGGAGTTGGGGCGCCCGCGCGCCCGGCTCGCTCCCGTGGGCCTCTCCCATTGTCTCCTCTCCAGGCAGGGCCGATGGGCGTGTGCTCCCCTGGCCAATTCTGGGCTGCGAGACTCTCAGGTCCTGGGTGTTTGGTAAACCGAGAGTCTCCAAGACGCCAACTTGAGAGCGAAGTTTAGCTGGTTGTTTCTAAACCGACGTTTCTCAAGTCAGTAAATAAAGATTCTGGAAAGTTTATTTTCAATAAGATATCTGTGCATCCTGTCCTCCCTGGTATTGCCAAATGCATATGTTAATTCTTGTTGGATTTTGGGCGGGGGACGGGTGTTATTTTCTTGGTCTATTCCGTTGGAAACAAGAATAAGTGGTGAACTTAATATTTGTTGAAATGAAAAAATGTTTACGCTAACGAGTATAAGAGCAGAAGGAACAAAGTTGGCTACTGGAACAAAGCAATCTCAGGAGAATATTAGTATTTTAGAAAAGAAATGTTATTTTTGTGATGTAATTACTGCAACACTATTGTTTCACTGGTTAAGACTTAAAGGTCCTTTTTTTCCAGAGTCTTCAATGACAATGGGTTGGGAAGAAGGATTGGAAGATACATGATTTCCTTTTACAAAAACAGACCGTAGTACATAGTACCTCTCTTTAAGAAAACTCAGTGTGTGGAATTTAGATGCTCAAAGCATTCCGTCTTTCAGAGAAAGGCAGTGCAGTGCTATGTAACTGACAGCTACAAGGGCAGTCCTAGTTAAGTTACTCGCAATATCAAATTTCCAGTTACGTTAGGGGTCGTTTGATCAAGCATGTTAGAGGTATCACATACCAGAAATGCTTTTTGATGCTAATACTGCAGGTGAATTAATCTGCTGGAATCAGAATTACTTCTATTTAACCATCTTATTTTATAAATGAAATTTAGATGCAGAGATGGTATTTCCCCAGGTCACATGGTCTTTTTGGGATAAAACCGAGCCTACAACAAAACCTGCCAGTATTTAGTTTGGAGCTATGTTTACTTTACCCAAATATCTACCATATTGGGATATGACATTTCTTATTTGGTGCTGGTTTTTTATAGGTGCTTTAAAAAAATCGTTTCTTCTTTCTTTAAAAGAAATAATAAAAAATCACACTTGCTTTCCAAAACTATGGATCTCATCTGCATTACTTAGTAGAAACATTTTCCTTGAGTGTAGACTTTTTTGGTACAAAATTTTAAAATGATGGAAAGCTTTACTCAAAGTTGATATTTTCTTTTGAAGCAGGATTTATCTTACACTGTTGTAACTAACACACAGCAGTAACTTTTCCATAAATAAATTTCTCTTTTAAAACATTTTTTAACAATCATTTTCCTTCTTAAAGACAAAGTCTGCATTTTCAAGGTTTGTTTTCAAAGGTAAGGTTTCCAAATCAACTACTTTGCTGAATGAATAAAACAGACAAATTGGGGAGAATTGGAGCTCTTCTAAAACGATTCCTAAGTTATTAAATCTTTAGGTGGAGATGCGGAAAGGAAGAACATGGAATGTGATCTCCAGAAAAAGGGATAAGAAACCATTCCCATCCCTCAGAGTGAATGAAGTAAATTTTAAAGTCGACTTGTGGGAAAATAGAATTTAGTTTATAAAATCCAATTTGGTTACAATTTAGCAACATTTCTCTGTCACAAAGCAAAGTCACCTATGTGCAGAGGCTGTTTTTCAGTAATGATAGAGCAGCAGCATTTCTCAAAAGTGTGATTGCACACCACTCATCAGTCATCTGAGATAAGAATATAGATTCCCTTGGCTAGAGACCTGCAGAACCTGCATTTCTAGGGGAAGTGGATTCATTTATTCATTCATTTATTTATTTATTTATTTATTCATTCATTCATTCATTTATTTATTTATTTATTTATTTATTTTGGTATCAATCTGCAATTACATGAAGGACATTATGTTTACTAGGCTCCCCCCTTCACCAAGTCTCCCCCACATCCCCGTTCACAGTCACTGTCCATCAACATAGTAAGATGCTGTAGAATCACTACTTGTCTTCTATGTGTTGCACAGCCCTCCCTGTGCCCCCCCTCAACGCTATACATGCTAATCGTAATGTAGGGGAAGCAGATTTTAAAGGGACTCCCCTGGGATTCTTATGCACACTTAAGTTTGTATTAGATAAAGAGTAGATTTGCTCAAACTTATCCAATTCAGAATAGCTTTTGGTAAATATTAAGAGCAGTCCCCAGAGTTTAGAAGAAATGGATTTTATTTTACATATTGCTACTGTTTAACTAGTTGGCCTTATTAAGTGTCTCATATCCTTTGTGTTTGCTCTTAAATAACCAGCCTAGAATAAAGGAGCAAAAAGATAGTAAAGCTCTGTGAGATGGTGGTGAAGAGAAGGTAGGAACAAGAAACTAGGTAAGTGTGACTAATCAGTCATTAAAGCCAGAGCTCAGAAGTTACTAAGCTTCATTAAAGTAACAACTGCCAGGATCCTATCTTACGTATTTAGGCTGCTAGCTTAGGTCTGCTGGGAACGCTCTAGTAAAATACCATATACTGGGTGGCTGACATTTATTTCAGTAGACATTGATTTCTCACAGTTTTGGAGGGAGGAAAGTCTCAGATTGAGGTGTCTGTACATTCACTTCCGGGAGGGCCCTCTGCCTGGCGTACAGGCAGCCTCCTTTTTGCTGTGCTTTTACCTGGTGGAGAGAGGGGAAGAGCAAGCTCTTTGGTCTGTTTTTAAATGGGCACTAAACCCATCATGTGGACCCCACCCTCATGATGTCATCTACATCTAATTACCTCCCAAAGGCCTCATCTCCAAATACCATCACATTGAGGGTTAGGGCTTCAGCGTGTGAATTTGGGGGACAACACAATGCAGTGCATAGCAGCCAGCAACAGAGACTAGTTTCTTTTGCTTTGTGTTTTACGTTTCCGTCCAAGTTTTTCATAATTGTAAAGATTATTCTTTTTATAGAAAGTTAGTGAAAGCTCCATTTAAAAAAATGAGAGCCTCTAAAATTACCTAATACAATTTGCATTTGTATACATTTAACTTAAGTATGGTGTAGGAACTCAAAATACTTGTTAAATTAAGCTGAAGAGTGAAGACCATCTTTTGTCTTCACTGTTAATTGCTTTTGCTGCTGAAAAGGATAGTTTAGTGCAAATTTCTGTTTTATTCTGTGATAGAAGATCCAGACCCCAATTCTTCCTGATTTTACACTCTCATTTGGGAGCTGAAAATGTGCATTTTTGAAGGTTTGGAAACTTTTCTGTATTTTTTTCTTTGCCTTTCAAATGAATCCATCCCTCAGTCATCAGCATCAATCAAAATAACTTAAGATCCTCAAGTCATGAACATTATCCAAATGTGGTTCATACCTGGCTCACTCATGTTGCTCATTCATTCAACAAACACCTATAGCAGTGTGCAAGAGACATGATCCCTGTGGTCTAAGAGCTTATGTTCCAGAACTGTAGTGTTTGTACATAACTACCTATTTCCATGTAGTCTTTGTCTGAACTTTCCTAGCAGAGAAGCTCATGTCTTCTAATTGATATGCTAGAAGGAAAGTCTCAGATCGTCTAATTTCGAACTTCTTAGCTGTACCTGACAAAACACCCAGAGTGCTAGTAGACGGGTACTAGGGAAAAGCATCCTGCTAGGTTATCCCTTGGCAGGAGTCTCTGTCATTTAGAGCTAAGTGGGGCTGTGGTTTTCAGCCCAAACTGATGAGGTTGGGAACTCAATTATAGTCCAGCTGGGCTGGCTGACCTCTGAATTACTGCCTTCTCTATCTGGACATTATTAGCTCTGGCATTGCACCCTCTCCTCTTTATAATTTTTCCTCTCATTACCATTTAGTCACTATCATCACTACCATAGGTCACTTCTAATTTTTAGGATTTCACTGCAATTTCTTACCTTTTTAACTCTTGACTCTTCTACTGCCATGGAAACTTTATAGTGCTGCCTTCTTAGGCCTCTCACTGCCCTGACACACCTGCCTATGGGCATCTTTGTGGAGATTCTGTGGAGCACTTAAATGGCAAAGGCATATTCTTTGTGATGCAGTTAGGATATTTTCTAATTTCCCATGACTGTTGTGACATTAAAATTTATTTTAAAAATGATAAATCACCTGCACATTTTCAATAAGAAATATTTGACCAAAAGCTAATTTTATAAGAAATTCCCACTTGGATACACTCTGTGTTAATATTTTAATTTTTTAGATGTTGCTCATCAAAGAATATGAGAGCGAGTTATCTAAGCAACAGGTGAGAGCCCAGCTACTTTTCTTAGAATAATTCGTATTTTTAGCTGTTATTAAAATCACTGTGTTTATTAGAATACTTGTCAGCATTCCTTCTCTTTGTGGTGTCAAAAGCTTTATATTTCCACTTTAAGATTTTTCTTTTAAGGTGTGGCGATTTGGTATTATGTAAGAAAGATCAAAGAATACAGTTCTATAACTCCGATAGTCACCATCTATGTACAGTACAAGAAGAATATTGGTGATACAGTCTTGTGAGTCACATGTGCCTGCAGATAAAATGGTGTATGCATCCTCATCTTTGAGCATAGAAGGGAATGATACCTTCATTATAAAAATTTGATAGATTTTTCAAGAGTTTTAGTTTCTTTTAGATCAATATTTCTCATTTTTTAAAAATCACCAGGCATAAGAATCCATTTAGACAATTTTTCTTAATTGTTTTATCCATGAAACTTAGTGGAGATAAAATGTTTATGGCTGTATGTATATCTGCTTTACGCACAAAAAGTAAGTTTTTTTGACCCCCCAAAGCCAATTTTTGCTCTCTTGAGGACACTATTAACCCCACTGAGAATTCATTTTTTAGACTGAAGTACT